CTCATGTAGTCTCTTCAGTTTTGTGCCACTCACCCCAAGAAAGATATTGAGCTGCTGAAATATATTCAGAGGTACAAAACTGGTGAAGGGTCTGGAACACAAGTTCTGTAAGAAGCAGCTGAGGAAACTGGTGTTGTTTAGTCTGTAGAACAGGAGGCTGAGAAGATACCTTATCATTCTCTGCAACTACCTGATAGGAGGTTATTTCTAGATGGATGTTGGTCTCCTTTGTCATGAGACAAGTGCTATAATGCAAGGAAATGTGCTCATGTTGCACCAAGGGAGTGGGTATCAGGGAGAACTGGGTATCAGGAAGAATTTCATGTCACTATTCCTGGAGTTATTTAAGAGATGTTTGGATGTGGCATGCAGGGACATGGTTTAGTGATGGACTTGACAGTACTAGATGATGGTTGAACTTGATGACCTTATGTGCCTTTTCCAGCATAAAGGATTCTATGATTTTTTTGCCCCTATACATTATTTTTTTTTCCACGAATGTACAAAGACAATTAATTTGCCTTCACTGATAATATAGCAACATATTTTTATTAGAAGGTGGTCTTACCTGTAAGTGTAATAATTGTACTAATTCTCTGTCTCTCTCTCTTCTCTCTCTCTCTCTCTCTCTCTCTCTCTCTTAAATTCTGTATGTGCTATTTATGTTACTGGGCCAGAACCTTCATGCAATTAATTCAACAACACAAGCTTAAAAGCTGATAAAGCTGATATACAAAGGCTTTATGTTACTGAATAAAGAAATAATAATAATAATAATAAAAACTTAAAGGAAATTATATTTGAAAAGATTAATTTAGTAAATTTAACAGAAAATGAAGAAACAAAAATCCTGGAAGTGCTTTTAAATGCTTTAAATCTATCTAGATGCATGTGTTTTCATGAGGGCAAGAGAAAAATGACTTAATGCTATTTTTGTTCATGAGATTGTACACTTTGAGGCATCAGGTACTACAATGAATGTAAATCATTATCTTCTGTATTATCTTAGCTGCTACCTAAGAATATTAAAGTATTAATACATCAAGTTCTAATAATCGTCATACACTGCCTCATAGCCCACTACTGTGAGAGTTTTAAATAAGAGGTCCTAATTCAACTTAATCTGTAAAAATTTCAGATGCCATAATTTGATGCAGAGAGTTTGAAAATGTAAACACAAAAGGGGAAAGTTCCTTCCTTCCTTCCTTCCTTCCTTCCTTCCTTCCTTCCTTCCTTCCTT